CGTTAAATCTCTCCCGAGTAATTACGACAATTTACTAGACGCGCTCTCCCGAGCTACGCTAGCTGGCTTTTAATACAGCTCACTTCAGATCGCACCCAAGGCTTCGTTATCCCTAATCCCACCTTTAAACCCTCGGTTATTAATCCCTCATATACTCTGGGAGTGGTGTTGTTCAACAATTACCTAAATATGCACTCTCTCCCGAGTTATGCATACTAAATAGGCACAGCTAATTGAGAGCTCTTCAATCAACCAGAATATAAACGTAGTTGAACAAATAGAGAAAAGCTATGGCTCAATTATATAAAAACATAACAAGAATTTATCCTACAAAAGGTTCTATCAAAACTCTAGATAACAAATTAACTATTCATAATAGTATGTAAAACTACAATACTAAAAGTCATAACCAACAATGAAAAATAGGAAGAGGAAGGAAAAACTCGTAGAAGAATTCTCCGCCTTGCTCCCAATGTGTTCTTGCCTCCTTAGGTCGAATCTATGTCTCTCCGCCTCCTTAGGTCTAATTTGTGTCCAAAATATGTCCTCCTCTTGTTCTTGGCCGGCCTCCTTTGTTTAATATAGGGTTTAGGACTTAAAATCCCATGTTTTGCACTTTAGTCCCTGAAATTTTCGCTTCCTGCAGCGTTTTTTCCGCGGTCGCGGTGGAACCACGGCCAAACATGCCCTCTGATTCTTCAGTTGTCCGCGACCATCTTCTACCGCGGTTCTGCCGCGGTCGCGGCAAAACTGCAGTTTTTCACCCTGTTCCTTTTGGAATTTGGAAAAACGTAAAACATGAAAGTTGTAGCCCTTTGAGTTAGCTTTCCAACCATATATTGTGGAGCCCAAATGGAGTTCTGAGAAAAAAGTTATGTCTATTTTACTAGACAGTGCGCAATATGCCTCCTCAAGCCTTCGTTCGTACTTAATTATCAAATTTGACCCCTGAACACGATCCCGGCTTAATTCCTTGAGCTTTTACTCAGACTTCAAAGCTTCAAATCACTTAAATTCATTCCATAACATCTATATAGCTCGGAATCACACCTACAAGGCATAAAACACACAATTAGTGCAAAACACTAGCGATTAAAGCGCAAACTCAATTAAAGTGCAGTAAATTCGAGTGTAATAAGCGACTAAAATATGCAATTATAGCCTATCATCACACGTATATAGAAACTAGTATAATAAAAACTAGAATGCTTATTATTTTTAATCCATACCAAAGTAATGCTCATTTTTCTAAACTAAATTCAACCATATAGTACTCATTATGATATACCGTCGTTATCGTTATCCATAGAATTAATTCTCTACTTTATTCCTAAAACGCTCAAAATTTATTGATCCACAAGACAAAGTAGGGTGAACTAGCTCGAACCAAAAAAAAAAAAAAAAACAATGAAGGTGCATTAAAAATGTAATTAAGTAAATAAAAGTATATGAAACTCGTGTAAGATTATTAAATTAATAAAATTATATCTTTTTTTCTCTCTAATAATTTTAATTTTAGATGAAATAATCATACACTCCTAACATAAAATATCCAAGCAAACATAACCTTCTAACGTCATAATATTTGATAAATGTACAAAACGTCAGTGTCGCCACGTGAGCAAAATAAACAAACGACTGGCATTAGCCTCATAGAAAAATTTTATTTTGTGGCTCACACAACTAATATCAGATCTCTTTATTGTCTCAAAATTTTGTAAATCCAAAATTATGTGGATCCAAAAATATAAAATATGAGTCTATAAATTTATGAAATAAAAAAAAATCTCATACAATAAGTGCCAGTTGTATGAGGCAGACCATAAGACTAGTTGTGCTCATGGGATCCATGTCACGCGGAAGGCGTGTGCTATCGTCGACCGACCCATCTAATGCTTGTGCCGTTGCTCGAACTGCGCAATCCAATCGCGTGCCACCTTTTAATTCCACGTATTCTACTTACGTCCTTGCTCTCCATTTAAACCACTCAAAATGTTTGACCAAAAATAGCAAAATTACTGTGCATAGTATTATTACTCGACATATTATAACAAATTAAGTACGAAAATATTTAAGCAGAAATGTAGAATAACAACTAATAGTTCATTTCACTAGTTTCTTATAATCTAAATCAATAATTACTCTATTCTTATAATCTAAATCAATAATTACTCTATCTGTTTCAATTTAGACGACACACTTTCCTTATTAGTTCGTCCCAAGAAGAATTATACATTTCTAAAAATAATTCAAGTTTAAACTATTTGTTTTACTCTTAATAAAAAGTTTTTATAACCACACAAATGTTATGATCCCATAAAACTTTTACGCTTGAATTTTAAAAATATTCTTTTTTTCTTAAATTCCATGTGGAATCTAAATACTAAATTTAAATAGAAAGGGATGGAGTAGTAAAATATTGGACTAGGCGTGAAAAATATATAGATTTGAGTCATGGGAAAATAGGCATGTGAAAATAGTGTCCGCACCTACTATTTGCTTGTTCGTGGCAATTTCTCACTCTTATCAATTAGGTTTGGCGTGTACTTCTAAATTCATTAGGACACGACCCTTTAAAAGGGGGAGGGGAAGTCCCCTTTTTCTTGTTAATGCAACCTCCCCAAAACCAAGCTAATCCCTCTTCATTCGGAAGCACATCAAATCTGACTCCATTCTTACTCAGCCTCCAAAAATCCTTTTCTTCCTTTTTATTCAATCCCACTTCCGGGAAAACAATCTTTTATTGATTTACAGATTCATCATATAGTTTTCCCGGAGAATTGAAATCTATCTTTCAACCCTCAAATATGGCATCATTAAAAATCCATCCTAGAACCCATTCATTGATTCATGTAAACAAACCCAATTTAATTTCTGATTTGAACTTGACGACTTGTCTCTCAGTTTCTAAAAGGGTGTCTTCTCATCGTGTTTCTGCTTCTCTATCTCTATCAAATCCACCTTCTAATTCAGGCGGAGTTGTCAAAGAAGATCAGAAAAGGTCAGAAGCTGTATTATCTGGTAAGCTTGACGAATGGATGAAGGAATCAATGGTGGATATTGTAAAGAATTTGAAGCAAGCGCCGTTATTGGTCCACGTTTACGATGGTGAAGGACAAGTGAAGATCAAGACAGAGAGAGCCGTAGCGGAAAATTGGCCGGTGGTGAAAAGTGAATGGAAAAGTGGAGAAAAAAGATGCCCAGATGGGCTTATTTTTATTGAAGAAGTTGGAACTGAAGAAGAATTAAGAGATGGCAAAATTGCAGAAGAATCAGAGGAAGGTATAACAAAAGCATGGGGAGTAGTAGTACAAGGGAAAGGGGTAGAATGTTCACCAGCTTGTTATTTGTTGAAGACGAGTAGAGTTGGTGCTGGTTTAGGAATGGGATTGTTTTGTACTCATTTCTGTTTAGCAAGAGTACAGAATTTTAGGGACAGTGCTCTTGGACAGCTTAAAGATTGTTGGTTGTTGCAATAACTGATTGAATTTTTCTCAAGGGGAAAAAAATTGTGATTATGTCTAAGATTGTTGAAATGTAAAGGTTTTACTGAAAGTAATACTACTAATGGACTGATGCTTTTGAGTAGATCTTGCTATTTGCTAGTAGAGTACTTCTTTTGCTGAAAGTAATATACGTTTGATTCACTATTTTTCTGTTGATATATGATTTAGTTAGTCCAGAATATACTGGAAAATTGTTAAAGCAGATTTTTTATTGAGTAATGTACGAAAGGGACTCATTTTAAACGTGTATCCTGATCCTAAGGCTCCGAGATGGTTGGGTCATCTTTATGACATTCGCCGTGCAGTATGTCACGTCCTTAGTTTTTAACTAAGTACACGTGTGGCACTTGACAACTCGCCCACGTGTGGCACTTGACAACTCATTTTGTATTAGAGATAACTTGAATTGTTTGCTTGATGTATCACAAATGAATGGTCCCCCTATTTATACTAATCACCTAGGGGCTAGTGTGTAAATAATAATTGTTCCACAAGTCCTTAATATTTACAAGTAAGTCCCTTCTCTAGAATTTTCTACAAGCCTAGAAGATTTCAAGGACTTTCCTAGCAAATCCATAAGGATCTAGGGTCTTTCTAAGGAAATATCCATATTTCTTTAGAATCTTCTCACAAATGCTAGCCTTCCTCTTATGTAAGCTTTCTCATGGCATTAATATATGCCAAATGGCGCCTATGTGGTATGATGACATGGCGGGTCATCACACTCTCCTCCGCCTAATATTGCGACGACCGCGGCGTAATGCTGCGGCATAAACTCTCAGATCTTATCCTTGAATTGCCACAAGTCTTCATCGTTCCCACGTGGCCTCCTCTAGTGATTGCCCTTTCCAATGGACGAGGAACATAGTGGTGGCTTTTTCCCCTTGTTTTCGCCTGGCCTGGTAATCCGTAATAGCCTCAATCTCCCGATCATGCGAGCCGGTGACAGTCATTGGCGCTCGACTTGATTGGCCCCTACTCGGATCATCCTTGTCTTCATGATATGGCTTAAGCATGCTGGCATGGAAGACAGGGTAGATCTTAAGATACGATGGCATGTCAAGCTTGTATGAGATCTTGCCTACCTTGGCGACGATCTTAAATGGCCCCTCATACTTGCGAATCAAATTCTGATGCATGCCCCGTAGTGCCTTGAACTGTCTTGGGTTAAACTTCACCATGACCATGTACCCAACTCTATAGTCCGTGGGACGCCGTTTACGGTCCGCAAACTTCTTCATCCTCTTAGCTGCCTTATCCAAGTAGGACTTAGCAGTGTCAAGCTGCTCCTCCCATCCTTTGGCCATATGATAAGCCCCCAAACTCTTTCCTTCGAATGCAGCTGGTAATGAATGTGGAGTTTGTGGTTGTTGGCCTGTGGCTAGCTCAAATGGTGTCCGCCCCGTGGACTCACTCCGCTGCAAGTTATAAGAGAATTGGGCGATGTCTAGGAGCCTTGCCCAATCTTTCTGATGCGCGCTTACATAATGCCTCAAGTAGCATGCTAGTAAGGCATTGACTCGTTCTGTTGGTCCATCCGTCTGTGGGTGGAAACTAGTAGAAAAGTGTAGCTCTGTGCCAAGTATGTCAAACAACTCTCTCCAAAAGTTTCCAGTAAAGCGGGGTCTCGATCACTGATTATATGCCTTGGTAGCCCCAATACTTCACCACGTTCTTAAAGAATAGCTTGGCGGCTTCCTTGGCTGTGCAACCTGGTGAGGCGGGCATGAAGGTGGCATATTTGGAAAATCTATCCACGACCACCATAATAGTACCATAACCATCGGACTTTGGTAGACAAGTGATAAAGTCCATAGTCACGCTCTCCCATGGACGCTCTGCAACTGGTAGTGGCTCCAAAAGTCCGTCGGGCTGTTGTTGCTCAATCTTGTCCTACTGACATACGAGAGAAGTCTGCACATAACATTCTATATCATCTCGCATGCGTGGCCAATAATAGACTGACTCAACCAAGGCCCTGGTGCGACGTTGGCCTGGATGACCAGCCCACATTGTATCATGACTCTCCCTATCATCCGCCGTCTAATGTCTCCAAACTTAGGCACGTAGACCCGCCGACCCGTGGTAAGCAATAGGCCGTCTTCTACCCAAAAACATTTCGTCTTGCCCTGGTTGGCTAACTCGATAAGTTGTTTGGCTGCCAAATTATGCTGCATGCCTTCTTTTATAGCCTCACGAATGTGCCAAGTTGCTGAAGTGATGGCAGCAAGCTCGGCTTTCCGGCTCAAGGCATCAGCTACAACATTACCTTTGCCCGGCTTGTACTCTAGCACATAATCAAACTCGCCAAGAAGTCTTGCCACCTAGCCTGTTTTGGTGTGAGCTTCTTCTGCGTTTGAAAGTAGCTAGTAGCCACATTATCGGTCTTGACCATGAACCTCGACCCAAGCAGATAATGTCGCCATGTACGAAGGCAATGCACAATAGCAGTCATTTCCTTCTCTTGCACAGTGTAACGCCGCTCCGTCTCATTTAACTTGCGGCTCTCAAACGCTATGGGATGCTTATCCTGCATCAAGACACCCCAATGGCGAAGTTTGAGGCATCTGTGTGCTCCTCAAATATCTTGTCAAAGTCGGGTAATGCCAAGATCGACTCCTCTGTTACAATCGCCTTAAGGTGTTCAAACGCCTTTTGACAATGCTCTGTCCAGACCCATGGCTTGTTCTTCTTCAGCAGCTCAGTCAATGGTGCAGCCTTTGCTGAGTAGCCACTGATTAATCGACGATAGTAGTTAACAAGGCCAAGGAAGGATCTCAACTACGTTACCTTTGTAGGTGCCTCCCACTCCTGGATAGCACATACCTTAGCCTCGTCCATGCGTAGCTCGCCATTGCTAATGATATGGCCCAAGAAGTGCCCCTTTGATTGTGCAAATTCGCACTTCTCCCTCTTGATGTATAACTTGTTCTCCCGCAAGACTTGGAAAACTTTCCTTAAGTGCTCCATGTGTTCCTCCAAGGTGTTGTTGTAGATGACTATGTCATCTAGGTAGACTACCACGAACTGATCAAGGTAGGGATGAAAAATCTTGTTCATAAGGGTGCAAAATGTGGCCGGTGCATTGGTTAAGCCGAAGGGCATCACCAACCACTCAAAGGCTCCATATCTCGTCACACATGCTGTCTTTGGCTCATCCCCTTCCGCAATGCGAACCTGGTAGTAGCCCTTTCGAAGATCCACCTTGGTAAAGTACTTGGCTTGCCCAAGTCTATCGAACAAGTCAGCAATGAGCGGGATCAGGTACTTATTCTTCACTGTAACCTTATTAAGTGCTCGGTAGTCTATGCACAAGCGCAGCGATCCATCCTTCTTCTTCTGGAACAATACTGGTGTGCCAAAAGGTGCCTTTGATGGGCGAATGTGACCAGCATCCAGCAACTCTTTCAATTGTTTCTTGAGCTCCTCTAGCTCGGGCGGTGCCATACGATATGGGGCAAATGCAGGTGGCTTAGCCCCTGGCTCCAACTCAATCTTGTGATCCACCTCTCGCCTAGGCGGCAAGTGCTTAGGCAACTCCTCGGGCATGACATCTTTGTTTTCCTCAAGCAACTTCTCTATGCAAGGCGGCAATGTCTCTTGAAAACTCTTGTCTTCCTCTAGACTTGCAATGGTTGCCACGAACGTTGGCTCCCCCTTCTTGATCCCCTTGACAACCTGCATAGCTGAGATTTGTGCTTGGATCTGTCCGTGTGGCATAGTCATTGTAGGTACCATGCAAGCTCCTTCTCGCTCCATAACCAAGAGACGTTGGAGGTAGGGGTCGATTAAAGTATGACAGTGTCTAAAGAACTCTTGCCCCAATATGATGTCAAAGATATCCATAGCGGTTACGGTAAAGTTTGTCATACCTTTCCAAGCTCCCAATTTGACACCTACTCCATTAGCTACCCCACGAGCATTTTGTACCTTGGCATTCACGGTCTTGACGCGAGAGTTGGTTGGAGCAAGCTTCAATTCTAGTCTCTTTGCGGCAGCCTCAGTCATGAAATTATGAGTTGCTCCAGTATCCACCATTGCACGAGCGGGCTTGTTGTTGATGGTGAGATCCACGTATTGATTGCCACTCTCGGTAGGTTGGATAGCTTGCTTATTGACAGCACCACATAATCCGATCATACCCAACTGTGTGGTTCTCGAACTCTCTCCTTGCGGATGCTCCTTTCGTTCACGGACTATGGCGCTGAGGCTCTTTAGGATGGGACAATTCTTGAAGCCGTGCGGCCCTCCGCATATGTAGCATCCCTTCTTCTCGGCGTAGCCCTAACGACCACTCAACTTTTTGGAATCATGAATCTTGGAGTATTATTGATGTATCTCCTTGCCTTTGCCACGATCTCCCCCACCTTTGACATTGTTAACCTTTGACTCCTTGCCATTGCCTTTGTCGTGCTTGTCATGCCTGAAATCCATCAATGATTCGGTCTCCACTATGGCTTGGCCCATATCAGTGACTTGTCCGTGTTGCAACTCCTGTTTAGCCTAATTTTACAACCCGTCCATGAAGTGGAACAACAAGTCATCATTGGTCAGGTTGGGGATTTGAAGCATAAGGGTAGTGAACTCCTTGACATAGTTACGTATGCTCCCTGTTTGCTTCAATTCCCTAAGCTTGCGCCTTGCCTCGTACAAGACATTGTTTGGAAAGAACTGTCGCTTGAACTCGGCTTTGAACTGATCCCATGTGCTAATAGTACATAGACCTTTATCCACATCGGCCATCTTCCTTCTCCATCAAAGCATGGCAGTCTCTGAGAGGTACAATACCGCAGTGTTGATCTTGGCCTCGTCGTCCCTCACTTTGCCATGCCTGAAGTAGTTCTCCAAGTGCCAAAGGAAGTTTTCCACTTCTTGTGCATCACGAACACCTTTGAACACCGGGGGTTTGGGAGCCTCGATCTTGGCCTCTCTCGTCACCACAACATTGCTGGCTGCCTCGGTCACGCCAGCATTGACATGCTCCTCGAGTGAATCTATCTTTGCCTTCATAGCATCGATAGTACTCAAAGCCTCCATGAGTCTGCGCTCTAAGGTAGTGATGGTTTTCCTTAGTTCCATCTCAG